TCATCACATACCTCCAACGGAAGCTTGAAAACACTCATGATGTATGTTGGAATTGATTGAGCCACAACACGTATTAACACTTCTTTACTCGCTTGAGTAGGGTGTCCATCATAAGCAAATAATCGTTTTGATAATTTTTCTTGCAGGTTCTAAAATTTTCCTTTTAACATTCGACCATCCGGAGTGGGCAGTCCCAAACATTTCTCTTCAAACCCTGTCAAAGTTATTTGCAAAATATTTTTAACCTCGTCTCTGGTTACATCCGAGCATGATCTACCCACCAACATAGAAAATTTGGTAGGATTTACCGGTTGCCCCATGGCATTTGCATACATTTGCAGCAGACTTTTAATATAGTGTGCTTCTTGGTCACAACATTTGAAAAACAAGAGTGTGTCATCCGCAAATAATAAGTGTGAAACTCCTGGTGCACTTCTTGTAATTTTTAGCGGAGATATATTACCGGTATCAATCCCTTTATTGATAAGAGTAGAGAGACCGTCAGCAACAAACAAGAATAAATATGGGGATAGCGGATCACCTTGCCGAAGACCACGCGATGGTACAAACGAATCCAAGATGGCTCCATTGAATTTTACGGAGTGTCTCACCGAGGTCACGCATGACGTTATCCAGTCAACCCACCGGTGAGCAAAGCCAAGCTTTTGCATCATTTGCCTAAGGTAATTCCATCCACCCTGTCATAGGCTTTTGAGAGATCAAGCTTATATGCACAATAACTCCTAGTAGGGTCCTTCTCTTGCTTTATATGATGAATGCATTCCAAAGCAACAAAGGCATTGTCAGTAATCAAACGACCAGGAATGAAGGCACTTTGAAATGGCGAGATAATGTCATCAAAGACAGGCCTTAACCAGTTTACTAAGCATTTTGAGACCACTTTGTACACCACATTGCATAAACTTATGGGCCGAAAATCTGTGATTTTCACCGGGTTATCAATTTTTGGAATCCTAACTATGATAGTATCATTAACATTTGCAGGCATTGTCCCGGTTTGAAAGAATTTTTTTACTGCCTCAATTATACTCTCCTTTATTGTTCCCTAGTTGCACTGAAAAAACCGCGCAGGGAAGCCATCCGGTCCCGGTGCCTTCAGGGGTCCGATATGGAAGAGAGCATCTCCAATCCCCTTATCTGAGAATTCCGCACGTAAAACGTCATTTATTTGCGGAGTTACAATAGACTGAAACAATTCAGTGACGTGGGAGTGATCAAGGCTTTGGTCAGCTGTGAAAAGCTCCTCAAAATATTATGTTGCCGCCCTTCCCATCTCTTTTATCCCCGTATGTACAACCCCATGAACATCTTCCATTTTCTTAACTCTGTTCTTTCGAACTTGCCATACTGATCTTGCATGGAAAAATTTTGTGTTCCTGTCTCCTTCTTTTAACCAATCTATCTGTGATCTTTGCAGCCACATCAATTCTTCTCGATACAGTAACCCATTCATCTTGTCTGTTACTCTTCGTATCTCACATTTGTCCGCGTTCATCAAAATCAACTCCTCCAGTTGTGATCTAGATTTCTCAAGCTCGTTTTTTATATTTCCAAACTTTACTCTACTCCAGTCAAACAGTTTAGACATGGTGGACCTGAGCGCAGCATGGACATCTCCCAGGCATGCTTTATGCCCAGCTGCCTCCCACGCTCGTGCAATAATTTCCTGGAGGGCAGGGCCTCTTTCCCACATTACTTCATATTGCTGGAATTTTTTCTTTATATGTACGTCCTCCATACGATCACAATTTACCTGCAAAGCCACATGGTCAGACACTGGCGAGACAAGATGACGAACAACAGGAGAATCAAAAATATTGTGCCATGCCGGGGTAGCCACAGCTCTGTCCAGGCGCACTTTCACATTCACCGTGCCACTTCTTTTGTTGTCGTAGGTGTGCGGAACTCCCGAGAATCCCAAGTCTGCCAACTCACATATCTCAAGCACATCACGAAAAGCTTACATCTGACTCATGGGTCTTAGTGATAAGGAAAAATGCTCAAAGTCCCACATGCATTCATTGAAACCACCCACGACTAACTAGGGTAGATTAGACTGGGAGCTCAGATTATTAAGCAAAGTCCACATGTTATGTCTATCCTCAGCCCTTGGTTCTCCATAGACACAAGTCAACCTCCACATAATCTCATCGACACCCAAACTAACATGTGCATCGATACATCTCTGGTTTGAGAACACCACCTTCACTTTGAGGGGTTCATGCCAATAAAGAGCCAATCCACCACTATTTCCAATACTGTCTACTCCCTCAAAACCTTTTAATCCAATCCGAGTTTTGAATTTTTTTTTCATCTTACGTTTTTGTTGCCTTGTTTCACATAAGAACACCAGCATGGGGGGAAGCGACTGAATGAAAGTCGTCACTTCACGAAGT